TGATACTGTTTTGTCAATTGGTCTTCGAAGTGCAGCTTATATTTGTCAACGGGTGACTAACGCTATTGCATTCATTTCAATGTGTATGGGTGTTTGTATTTTGAATTATTTAGATGATTTGGCTGGGGTTGAAAAGCCAGAACATGCTGAATTTTGTTATTCTACTTTGACAAAGGTTTTAGAGTTGTTTTGTTTTCGAGAAGCTTCGGAGAAATGTTGTCCTCCATCCACAATTATGACATTTTTAGGTATTTTGTTTAATACTGATAAAATGACAATGGAAATTACGCCAGAGCGTTTGGTTGAAATTCGTAAGTTGGTGAGTAGTTGGTTAAAGAAGAAACAGGCTACAATTAAAGAACTTCAATCTCTATTAGGTAAATTGAACTTTATTGGTGCTTGTGTCAAACCAAGTAGAGTTTTTGTGGCTAGGCTATTAAATTGGTTACGACAGTTGTATGGTAAAGATAAAAGGATTAAACATTCTATTCCTGATGAAGTTAAAAATGATTTAATTTGGTGGAATGAATTTTTACCAAAATATAATGGTATTTCTTTAATGTATCTTGGTCCTTGGAGTGAGCCAGATACTGTTTTAAGCAGTGATGCTTGTTTAGAAGGCTGTGGTGGTTTTTGGGAAGGTAACTACTTTCATTCTGTATTTCCGTCAGAAATTCTGTCCCTTAATTTACATATTGGAGCCTTGGAAATGTTAGCCTTAGTGCTTTGTTTACATCTGTGGTCTGCAAATTTTAATCAGTCTAGAATTATAAGTTTGTGTGATAATCTTTCGACGTGTATAGCTATTAATTCTGGTAAAGCTAAATGTCCATTTCTTCAAAAATACATAAGAGAAATTAGTTTTCTTTCGGCAATTCATGAATTTGAGATAAGGGCACATCATATTTCTTCATCGGAAAATTGTTTAGCTGATCACTTATCTAGGTTTAATCAGAATGAATTTCATAGGAATGAGTTTTTTAGATTGACTAAGAATTACAATTTGAGAGAGTTTCCTGTGAAGTCTGTTGATTTTGATATTTTAAATCCTTGGTAGCTATTTTTCTTATTATATAGTGCTTATAAGCTGTTATTAATTTTCAGACGTTCAGTTCACAAGTTTGAAGTATGATCTTCTTTTAACTAACAAGCAAGCTTATGCTGAAGGTACTTGGAAAAATTTGAAGATTCAGTGGGAGGCATTTCTGCTTTTCTGCACATATTTTCAGTTAGTTTTCTTACCAGTTTCAACTGAAACATTACAATTGTATGCACAATTTCTTAGTAGATCTATGAAATCAGTTGATTCAATTAGAAATTATATAAGTGGGGTGAAAACAATGCACTTGTTGTTAGGTGCATCTGTTTGATCATATTAATAATTTTTTGATAAATTTATCTTTAAAAGGGTTAAGCAGGCAAAAATTATATCTTCCTAGGCAAGCAGCGCCTATTACTCCTGAATTTTAATAAATATTTTTGAGAATTTGGATTTTCTGAGATAGATAATATTGTTTTTTTGGTGTTTATTTCTTTTTGCCTTCTTTTATTAGCTAGAAATCTAATTTAGTACCTACAAATTTAGTGAACTGGATAATCCCAGATTTCTGTTAAGAAAAGATATAGTTGATTGTGGAAGTTTTTTATTGGTTAAAATGAGATGGTCGAAAACTATTCAAACGGGAGAAAGGGTTCTGGAAATTCCTTTGCACTGTATTGATAAGTCTTGTTTTTGTTGTCCAGTTAAGGCTTACAACAGTATGATTAAAGTAGTTCCAGGGGACAGTGAGGTTCCTTTATTTTTACTGAAGTCTAAAAAACCTGTTACTTATTCTCTTTTATGAAAAAGTTAAAATCCTGTATTAACGAAATTGGTTTAGATTCCGATTCTTATTCTACTCATTCGTTTCGTAGAGGGTTTGCAACTTATGCTTTTAGGCTTAATTTACCTGCTGATCTTATTCAATTAATGGGAGATTGGAAATCTGACGCTTACAAAAAATATATTGAATATTCTTTTCAAGATAAGTTAAGAGTTTCCAAATTTATTTGTAATAATTTAAGCAAGATTGAGTGCTCTATATTTTAAGGTCTCTGATACAGCCTGAAGTTTACACGAGGTTGCAGAGTACATCTCTTATTTATGTCCTAGCGTGCCTTTCTTAGCCTTACTTAATTTGTGTGATGAGTGTATCAATATTTTAAGGTCTCTGATTACAGCCTGAGGTTTTCACGAGGTTGGCAGAGGATATATCTTATTTATCTGATAGTGTGCCTTATTTATTATCTGGTGTGGGTGACTCAATATTTTAGGGTCTCTGATTACAGCCTGAGGTGTTCACGAGGTTGGCAGAGAATATCTTTTTCATAGTGTGCTTATTTCATATGACTGTGTTTTAAAGTTTTTGTGAAGGAAACTGTCTACAGACCGATAAATAACAATATAATAGATTATGACAGAGTATTGAATATGGAAATATTCTAGTGTTTAAGAGTAATTACTTGTGTTTAAAATTTCGTATGTGGCTTCATATTAGTTTGAAGTTTCTGGTTACAATCTGATGTTTGCACAGGTTGACAAGAATTTCACATACAGAAATTTGTTCTGTTTTTTTCTCTTTATTAGTTTTTTCATGTCATAATTTTGCTATATGTTTTTTCTGTCATTTGTCAAAATTGCATTTGTGAGGTTTATCTGCCTTATTACTGGATAAATTTGTATTTAATTTATCTTGGATTTGACAAAATTTCAAAGTGGAAATTTATACTGTTTTTCAATTTTGTTTGTAATCATGTGTGTGGCTTCATTTAATTCATGAAGTCTCAGATTACAGCTTGATGTGTACACAAGTGACTGAGTTTACATACAAAATATATAATGTTAAAATATTGTATTTAATTAGTGTAATTTTAAAGTTTCTTATATGTCTATACTTTAATTATTAGTTTGACAATTCATATATTCTTATATTTATATATGTTAGCGTCATGTTTTGTATTCTAGGGTGCCTTCAATTTGTTCTGCTTTATTTGAATACATTATTATTTGTTGTAATTTAGTATCTGAAGGTCAATTTTTTCCAAGAATTCAGGAAGGTTGTCATTGTGGGGGATTCCATGATTAAGAATCTGCCACCGATTGAGGGTGTTGAAGTGAAGGCTGTCAGAGGCGCAACGATTGGTAAAATTAACTTTCTTATCGAGAAAGGACAATTATCTCTTGGTTCAAATAATTATGTCATTGTGCATGCAGGTACCAATAATATTGCCAATGGGAATTCTTGTGGTTACATTTTATCGGGGTTTTAGCTAATCTAGTTGCCACGATTCGTAGGGTGAATCCAACATTCATTTATTATATCTTCAATTTCTCCCTCGACCGGTGGATAAGGTTGAAAACGGAATCTGTTATTAAAGAAGTAAATAGTCGCCTAGAGAAAGAAATGTCCAAGGATTTGAATTTCAAATTTGTGAAATCTTTTCGTTCCGTTTTTATATAAGGGACAAATTAATAGAATACTTATTTGCCCAATTTGGATGGTTGGTCTTCATTTGAATTCAGAGGGTTCTAATCGATTGGGTCATTTATTTCTTCGGGTCATTTCTACACTAAATTATTGATTTGTCATGGATTTCTTTTTGATTAAGAAATGCAGTCTACAGGTTGGATGGTTTAAACCTTCTGGATTGTAATTTTTTCATGGCATATTATGTTTGTAATTTAGTGTAATGTCACTGGTTTGATCAGTTTAATGTAATTTTGTTCTTTCCATAAGTTTACTTGCTTAATTTTATTTGGATTGAATTTTCGATCAAAATTTGTGTGTATAAGGTTGTTTTTGTTGGCTTGTTTTATGTTTGGGCTTAGGGATGGCGGATATTTGAATATCTTTGCAGTCATTTGATGATATTAATATCAGATATAATTGAGTTTACCTACTTCTTGTTTGCGACACTCAGGACAATAAATTTATTCTATTTAAATGTTTTTGTTGTTATTTTCAAAGGAGTAATTGAATTATTATAAGTTCTTTAAAAAACTAATTAGGACACTGAAACTTGTTATTATATTATTCGGATGACTTCGGACTTTTGTCGGATTCAGCCGAAGAATTTTCGTAGTTCTATTTTTAACTACGGTTACCAAGCATTGATCACAACATCATAACAACTTTTCAATTGGTCATAGGAGTTTGTATTCCTACGCTTCTAGTACTATACTGATTACTTACCATTTATCATTGCTATTAGTATTTTTCGTGTCGCTTTGAAGTTTCAAATTTCCCGCCCCCCACGCTCTTTGTGTGAATTGATATTTTAGTTCATACCTGTATTTTTTGTATGACGTTTCTATAGTTCGAGTTGATGTAATTTGTGTAGTACATGCGGATATTTGAATATCTTTGCAGTCATTTGATGATATTTAATTACTAGATATAATTGAGTTTACTTACTTCTTGTTTGCGACACTCAGGACAATAAATCTATTCTATTTAATATGTTTTGTTGTTATTTCAAAGGAGTAATTGGCCCTTTCAGAGGCACCCTCACGGCAGGTCTTTAAAATACACGAATAAGTTGATGCACGGGCGTACGCACGGAGCATGGATAACATGTCATCACAATAACTCAACAAGATAATTAAAGATAATTGCATGTACTTACTCAAATTACTGTCTTGTTCAGAATGGAGGGTAGTTCTGGCTTCCAAAACTTTATAAGCCGCTCTTTAACATTTTTGTGTTTCATCTGATGCGGCACGTCATGTAAAGTATAAAAAAGGGGAAACGCTAAAAGACCTTAAGTTTAAAGGGAAGGGGAGATCACTACGTCAAAAAAAAATTTGGTACATTTGTAAGGGAAAAAACTAAAAAGAGAGATTTAAACTTCCCTGTAAGTAGAAAACAAAAGGGACGGGGGCCGGGAAATTTTTCCAATACCCAAATTTAATAGGGGGAAAAAACTTTGACATATCATTTTAACCCGTTTTTTAAAACCCGATCAGGTAAATGTCTACATTATTGATCTTCCAAACCAACATGGTGGAAAATATATTGTTGAAGGACATTAAATAACAAACCGATATTTTGACAATTTGTGCCACTTCTTGTAGTTGAGTCACGTATTTCGGGTGCAAACATTTCAAATGATTATTGGCTTAAATGTAGATTGGAGTTAGAAAGCACTGTATTAACCGTGACAAGATAGGTGCATTTAATAGAAAAGGATTAAGCCGTAAATGGATACTCAGAAGAGCTTTAAATGAAATCTGTTTTGCACGAGTATAATCACGTGCTCGTTATATGATGACATTTACCAACATAATGATACTATAGCAATAGACATAACTAATCATGTGAGAAGTTTAGTGAACATACCGGAGGCGCTGATCATTTAATCGATTTATAATTAAATATTGATAGTCCGGACATATCAATATTGCTTACTTACATGTATACATTTGTGAGTGAACGGAATGTTAACATTTACAGCTTAACTGTACTTGACACGATTTTTCAAGTGAAGTAGGGGAACAATAAAGTTAACTAACGTAATAAGCTGGATTTTGTCTCACATTTATTGATCAGTTATTTCTAAACAGTATGTATTGAAAACGTGACTGTGTAATGAAAAAACGTGACCGTGTAATGAATGCAAATGTTTATTGAATTCTTTTGTGAAAAACAACGACGGACGAACTTCCGAGGAATATATTAGACGATTTGTAATGTCGGGGACCGAAGCTGAACCGTTGTTTGCCCTGTTGGAGCTTATGCTCCGGACCTTTACGGCAAATACAGGGCCTAAAATAAAACCAGGCGGGCACCCGGAAGACATCTTTGTAAATTTGAATGATGAAGAAAAGGAGGAAATAGAATGCGCAATATGGTAAATCACTTTTTTGGCTGTAACCTAGGAATCGACATTGAAGGGCTCAATACCTATTTGGCATCGGTATTTCCGGCTAGCCACGACTGACTGAGCGATATTTCATGTAGTTATTATAATTCTTACTGATTTGTTAAGCTAAGAAGTGGCATATGCACTAATATAGATAAAAAGTGTGTTGTTTCATGCAATTTATATGCAAAGATTAAACTAAAACGTTAGTTTATATTTGCGGCAATGTCTGGCAACACTGTTGCTTTCTAGTATGAGCTTCACTGACGCTACAAATGAGCCGCGTCACGACAAAACCAACATAATGGGTTTGCGACCAGCATGGATCCAGACCAGACTGCGCACCCGCGCAGTCTGATCAGGATCCATGCTGTTCGCTATCAGTTTCTCTACTTGTAATAGAGTTGGTAAGCGAACATCATGGATCCTGATCAGACTGCGCAGATCTGGATCCATGCTGGTCGCAAACCCTGTATGTTGGTTTTGTCACTGACGCTACAACTGTCATTTGGCGATATTCTTACTCTCCTTCGAGTATTGTAATAAGCACAAATAGCTCATATACGAACATTTTTATCCCGCTAATTTTTTAACAGGGAAAAAGGGGGTTTTAACCCTCTTTTTCACCAGGTCGATAAAGGGTTTTTCCTCAAACAAGACTTTTTTATATACTGTCTTAAATTTCCAGACAGGAATATTTTATTACTTTAGGGTTTAACCCTTTAAAATTCCCAAATTTGTTAAGGGAATTTAAAATTATTAAAATCATGTTCTTCAATTACATGATTGTTAATTGTATTGGCTATAAATGTGCATTGTCATTTTATGCCAAATAAGGAATATGTTATGTTATGTTATGTATGTTATGATATGTTATGTTATGTTATGTTATGTTATGTTATGTTATGTTATGTTATGTTATGTTATGTTATGTTAACAAAGTAAATGCTTAAATTAACACGTATTCAGAGTTTGAAACTAACATTATTTTTAATCAATATACACCAAAACGTGTACAATGTAAAAACACTATATACATGTACATAGTTACAAAGTTTCAGCGTTGGCAATCTTTGATAAGTAGTGGGGTTTTGTAGCAGTGGAGTTTTGTTTTGGTTGGTTAGTGGATTTTATTTTAATCCCTTCACAAAAACAAAATGAAGCTCAGTAATAATAAGAGGGTGTCCGAGCGTCTTCTCTGTCTAGTTTCGGAAAAAATACCCTAGAAGTCAAATCCGAGTAGGTAACAAGTACTTTTATATATATATATTATTAGATTTCTATGAAGGCAAGCCTGGCTTGAGATTTTTGTCCTATTTCATTCATATATAAAATCTGTACATAGCCTAATCGTGTTAGATATTCCTTAATCTACAGGATTAAATCTTTACAGACGGCAATGGATTTTCATTTGCGGGTTTTTAAATATGACCGATTCAAAACTTTGACGTAATATGACGTTTATTGGGAATTAAAACTTTAAAATGATAAAAAATGTAAACCTTATTCGTTGATCTTATAAATACTGTAGCAATATTATGAAGAAGAGGAATTTTTGCTACCACTGACTTCAATTAAGTATTTATCCGTGCTGTTAACTAAAATGATGGTTCATCAATAATCAAAAACTAATGAAAATGTAATGAGAGCCTCTGCGGTTGAGTAAGATTACGGTTAAATTCTCTCTAAGGGAGTTCTTTCCAATCTTATTTACGCATTTGCAAATTAATGCAAAGAAATACACTCTTCCATCTTTAAATTCGCCAAATGACAGTGGCGGAGTCGATATCAACCAAAAATATCATAATTATGAACGTATTTGTTAAATGATAAATATAGCTTTATTCAAACACTCAGTATAAACTATAAAGTGTTCAAATCTCGAACGAAAATATCAACAATCCAAAATGGTTAAAGGTATTGCATTAATAACCGTATGAATATAAATGTCTAAGCAAAATTTTTGTGTTTATAGCAAAGTTTTAATCTGAAATACGGGTATATCATTATCAGTATCTTATTTCGCTTTAGTCATGGTTACCCAGTAAAATTTAAAACACGAAGGAGTCTTTACATTGTATGTTACCTTGCAAAATTTTATACTTGTTTATGATTTTTGATGTTTATGAAATTTTGTATACGGTTCCTTTGTGGATTTTCAAATATCTGTATATGGTATCGTAAAGAAGAAAGATCTCAGAAAACTAAAAATATAGTTATAACACAATCCACAAAATATCGAATTTTATAAGATCTATTTGCATTTATTTTCAGCTACCAAATCCTAAAAGATGTTCGCGAGTGTCAAAACAAACATGCATTTTGTTATTCTTGTATTTTCGTCTGGTCTACCAGTGGAAATCCAATCAACCACAGCAGATGCCCTGTGTGCAGGGTTGAGGGACTATATGTTAGAAACAATGCATTGGACGAAAGAATAAACGCCAAAATAGTAAAATGTTCTATGAACAAATGTAAATGGAAGGGCCCACTTGAAGGTCTAGCTTCACATCAACACACGCTATATTCAGAAGACACACGTGTGTCATCAACAATAAATACCACAGACGAGAAAAAGACAGAACTTCCGGTTGTTGCAAATAGTCCGGCGCCAACGCCGTCGTCTACTTCACGGAGCCGCTCACGCGCAGGTTCTTCACAAATTTCATCTACTCCATCATCACAGACATCAGTTAATTCTAGACCAAATACCCAGCGGCAGCCTTTAGGCACACAATCCTTGAATAATAGCAACAATACACAAACAAACAGCAGAACCAGTCAGCGTGCCAATGGACAAACAACAACACGCTCAAGAACGCGCAGCAGACACCGCAGTAGCCAAAATACTTCGTCGCCTCAACGTCGGTCAAATATTTCGGCTACAGGTCTAACTAATCGGCTTACATCTCGCGCCAGAATACAAAACGATGGAACAATAGACAAGAGAACAGTGACTGGTCAATCAACAACGCGTAATATAGTTTCTACAGCAGACGAAAACCAAAATCCTGTTGTAGAGCAAGCAACAACGGAAACAGTTCATGTTCCACACCCACCGACGACACCCCGCTCGTCAACAATCACTCCGCGTCCTTCACAAACACCCCGGCGTCTACCAACGTTACCAAACTTGCTACCTCTCAACAGTAGCAGCAGCAGCAGCAGCAGCAGCAACAACAGTAACAACAACAATAGTAATTCCAACAGTGCCACTAACAGTCAAACCACAAATACAGATAATAACAATAATGTAAGACCTACAGTGCCTTCAACTTTATACGATACTGCTGACACCCCACGCAGATTCACTCTTGAAGCGTCCATTCGGCGACCATCTCAGCCGCGCTCTTTCGGGATAATTCGCGAACGGTTAAATGAAAGTCGCCAACGTTTGGACATGCTTATGAACGTGTTTTCAGTAGAACTTGACAGAGGGCGCCAAGATCTGACTTCATTCCAAGAAGAACGTGAACGCAGACGACAGGAGCAGTTGGCGGAAGTTCGTGACCTCGGCAGACGACTAACACAAGTTGCGACAGAATTGCGCGGCCTTTTGTCGCAGAGACGCCAAATAAGAACTCAGATGGACAATCTTTTAGAATCTGCATCAGACGATCAGGATGAATGAGCTGTGTGACCTGTGATATAATGACTGTGTTACATGACAAGAATTATTATTTGTAAAAGCTGTAAAAAGATAAAAAGAAAACAAATGTTGTTCCAACTCGTTCTACTTTTCCAGAAAGTAGACTTACGGTATAACTTTCTTGAAGAGATATTTTTCCTTACCAGATAGAAATATAAATTTGTCATCACACATACATTGGTATCTTATGTGAAGCTTTCATCTGGCAAGAATGTAAAATTCTAGGTGTATAGGAGTTGAATATCAATCTTACTATTTTCATGAATAACATTTGTTAGCTCGACTATACGAAGTATATGGAGAGCTGTCCTACTCGCCCCGGCGTCGGCGTCGGCGTCGGCGTCCGCGTCCGCGTCCAGATTTTAGATTAAAGTTTTGGTGCAGTAAAATATTTTTCACTATAACTTTGTCATTTCTTAAGGTATCAACTTCAAACTTCAAATATATGTTCCTTATCATCAACCACATCTTATGTGACAAGGTTCATAACTCTAGCACCAATATTGTCAGATTTATCTCCCCTTGAACTTAGAATTTTCCTTAAAAAATACTATTTTTTACTGATACTTCTTTATTTCTTAAGGGATCAACCTCATACTTCAAATATATGTACATTATCATCATCCCCATCTTATGTGACAAGGTTCATAACTCTAGCACCAATATTTTCAGATTTATCTCCCCTTGAACTTAGAATTTTCCTCAAAAAAATACTATTTCTTACTGTTTCTTCTTTATTTCTTAAGGGATCAACCTCATACTTCAAATATATTTACGTTATCATCATCCCCATCTTATGTGACAAGGTTCATAACTCTAGCACCAATATTTTCAGATTTATCTCCCCTTGAACTTAGAATTTTCCTCAAAAAATACTATTTCCTACTGATCCCTTTATTTCTAAAGGGATCAACCTCATACTTCAAATATATTTATGTTATCATCATCCCCATCTTATGTGACAAGGTTCATAACTCTAGCACCAATACTTTCAGATTTATCTCCCTTTGAACTTAGAATTTTCCATAAAAAATATTATTTTTGACTGTAACTTATTTATTTCTAAAGGGATCAACTTCATACTTCAAATATATTTACGTTATCATAATCCACATCTTATGTGACAAGGTTCATAACTCTAGCACCAATATTGCAAGAATTATCTCCCCATAAACTTAGATTTATTTACTAGAAAAATGTTATTTTTTATTTTAACTTTTTTTATTTTTAAAGGTATCTACCTCAAACTTCAAATACTCATTCCTTATCATCAATTACGTTTTATGTGACAATGTTCATAACTCTTGAAGCAATATTTACAGATTTATCTCTCTTTGAACTTAGGTTTTCTTTAAGAAATATAATAACTTCTTTATTTTTTAAGGTATCTTCTTCAAACTTCAAATATATATTTCTTATCATTACACAAATGTTGTGTGGCAAGGTCCATAACTCTAGCATGACTATTTCTAGAATTATTCCCCTTGATCTTGGTATTTATGTTAACAAATGTTATTTTTTTACTATAACTTGATACATAATTATACATAATTGATTTTTCTTTCATATTTTTGTCCTCCTTACTGCGTCCAGTATTTTATTAGTCGAGCTTCGCTGTCTCCTGTGACAGCTCTTGTTTTTATTTTATTTTTGGTTAAGAAAAACTATAATTTTGATCAGTGCAAGTCTACCAGTGGAAATCCAGTCAACCACAGCAGATGCCCTGTGTGCAGGGTTGAGGGACTATATGTTAGAAACAATGCATTGGACGAAAGAATAAACGCCAAAGTAGTAAAATGTTCCATGAACAAATGTAAATGGAAGGGCCCACTTGAAGGTCTAGCTTCACATCAACACATGCTATATTCAGAAGACACACGTGTGTCATCAACAATAAATACTGCAGACGAAAAAATAACAGAACTTCCGGTTGTTGCAAATAGTCCGGCGCCAACGCCGGTGTCTACTTCACGGAGCCGCTCACGCACAGGCTCCTCACAAATGTCATCTACTCCATCATCGCAGACATCAGTTAATTCTAGACCAAATACCCAGCGGCATCCTTTAGGCACACAATCCTTGAATAATAGCAACAATACACAAACAAACAGAAGAACCAGTCAGCGTGCCAATGGACAAACAACAACACGCTCAAGAACGCGCAGCAGACACCGCAGTAGCCAAAATACTTCGTCGCCTCAACGTCGGTCAAATATTTCGGCTACAGGTCTAACTAATCGGCTTACATCTCGCGCAAGAATACAAAACAATGGAACAATAGACAAGAGAACAGTGACTGGTCAATCAACAACGCGTAATATAGTTTCTACAGCAGACGAAAACCAAAATCCTGTTGTAGAGCAAGCAACAACGGAAACAGTTCATGTTCCACACCCACCGACGACACCCCGCTCGTCAACAATCACTCCGCGTCCTTCACAAACACCCCGGCGTCTACCAACGTTACCAAACTTGCTACCTCTCAACAGTAGCAGTAGCAGCAGCAGCAGCAGCAGCAGCAGCAACAACAACAGTAACAATGACAATAGTAATTCCAACAGTGTCACTGTCAGTCAAACCACAAATACAGATAACAACAATAATGTAAGACCTACAGTGCCTTCAACTTTATTCGATACTGCTGACACCCCACGCAGATTCACTCTTGAAGCGTCCATTCGAAGACCATCGCAGCCGCGCTCTTTCGGGATATTTCGCGAACGGTTAAATGAAAGTCGCCAACGTTTGGACATGCTTATGAACGTGTTTTCAGTAGAACTTGACAGAGGGCGCCAAGATCTGACTTCATTCCAAGAAGAACGTGAACGCAGACGACAGGAGCAGTTGGCGGAAGTTCGTGACCTCGGCAGACGACTAACACAAGTTGCGACAGAATTGCGCGGCCTTTTGTCGCAGAGACGCCAAATAAGAACTCAGATGGACAATCTTTTAGAATCTGCATCAGACGATCAGGATGAATGAGTTGTGTGACCTGTGTTACATGACAAGAATTATTATTTGTGAAAGCTGTAAACAGATAAAAGAAAACAAAATTTTATGTTGTTCCAACTCGTTCTACTTTCAAGAAAGTAAACTTACGGTTTAATTTCTTTAAGAGATCTTTTTCCTTACGAGTTAGAAATATAAATTTGTCATCACACATACATTGGTATCTTATGTAAAGCTTTCATCTGGCAAGAATGTAAAATTCCAGATGTATAGGAGCTAAATATCAATCTTACTATTTTCATGAATATCATTTGTTTTTTTATTTCATTTTTGGTTAAGAAAAAATGTAATTTTGATCAGTGCAAGTATAAACAGGCGCAAATTTAGTTTCTAAAACATTGTTATTATTGTTGATAATAATATTGACTGTACCTCTGGTCGTCAGAAAATTAGGAACTAAGTTCGTTCATTATGGGTACAAATCTTTATTGATGTTATTTTGAAACAATGTACAAAAAGTACATTCCTTTGCTATTCAATTTAGATTGATATTATTGTAATTTCGAGGACATACATATTATAATATTACATTTTCTATGTATACCCTTTGTATGGGTCGCTAAAATATGTTTTGTTTACAGTTATATAGTTCAGTTTGTGCAGCCGGCTAGTTAAAAGATAATTTTAATCTCTTGAATTATCGACGAATTGGATATAATATTTACTTTCTTTATCGCTCTTTGATCAATAATATCGTTTGTATGATAAGCGTTGTAAAGTGTTTTGTTGATATTACAACATAATATGTCTTTAATGTTTACATAGCTTGAAAATTAATTATTCTCTCCCTGGTTGCGTCATCAACTGTTTTTTGAATAATGTAAACACTCGTTATTAAAAATACATGAAATTTAATAGATTAGAGTTTTAAGCGTACAGTGCATTAATCAATAAGTAAAGAGTATTTTTTTCATACTAATGTAAACAGTAACACATATTGTATTTAAATAATATGTACATGTATGTAATTTGATCCGACACGAACTGGGATTTATTTTTATGTATATGTTTAACGCAGACCCTATTTACATTTTTGATTATATAAAACCATCATTAAACTAAATTTTGGAATTTACTTTGTATGAAATTCAAAATACGATTTTGTTTACATTTCACTACTTTTATGAACAAATTATTTCACATTCAGCGTGATAATCGTAAAACATGTTCTAAATCTGTTATTGAAAAGTGTACTTTTGAAAATTAATGTGCCTTAAATTGAAGAAAAACCGAAAGAGTATACGGCAATTTTAGGACACGACAATTTTCTCAGAATGAAAAGGGTTAAAAAAGTAAATTTGTAAATATGATATAAAATACTTGCACATTTTAGTATTACTCTGTTTCAGTTTTAGATTAAAGTTGTCGTCTGTTGTAATTTTTCAGATGTAAGAAAATCATACTGTTTCAAAACGTAAATTAAATTAATGCAAGTGTGTGTGTGTGTGTGTGGGGGGGGGGGGGGGAATGGACAACATTGGTTTTACAAGACCATTCTCAAATTAAGGTGCCGGAAGACCTTGGTTTTTTTTTACAAATGTTTTTTGTTTATTTTCATGTATAAACATTTTATTGTCCAATCATGGCTTTCCATTTGGTTACGCAATAACTATGACATAATATTATTATAAGATGACATTTTAACATTTATTTCTTGAAATTAAAGGGGTCTGAACCGCGTTTGTCACTGCATTACGAGATACATACCTGCTATAGCAATGAATTTTTTTTTATTTTTGAATGGTGTGGATAATAAAAACCATTTTGAAATTATAACAGTGGACTAAAAACAATTTTAGATAAATTTTAAAAGTGGCATTTTTTTGTGGTGATTAATGGGCCTTTAGAAGTGCTCTATATTTCGGTTATTATTGTTTAACATGCTTTAGAGGTATTATCTATTAACACTGCAATTGTTATTGGTTATGCATTATATATAAATGTTTAGTTTTACCACAAGGTCCGACCTTTTCATCATCAGGGAGTGTGATTATTTCTATAGACATTTTATCATCTCAGGAAACTGTTTCCTTCTTGACATGCATAGTTATTGACGAGTTAATTCTTGCTGCTAGTATATGGTTTCAATTTAACACATTTAGTCTCATAAAATATAGGCCTACCACATATTCAAGAAATTCCACTAAAGTACAAACGCCTAAAAATGGAAAAATTAATTTTTTTTACATCGATCATCTGGGACAGTTTAAACAGAAAGACATGCAAACGATAATTAAGAAATTTTTACTCGGAATTAAGTTGAAAATATTCTTAGGAAAGCGTTGAAACGCTTATCAATTTCGGGCACTATTAAAATTAGATCTGTCACTATTAAAATAATTATTCTGGAAAGAAAAAGTGAATGAAGGATTTGAATTTTTGAGCACATGTTATTGGTTTAGACCTTCATCAAGTTAAACATTAAAATTAAAAAAAATCCAGTCCCGTCATGTAAAAAAACCCAAAAAAACCTTAATATTGGTTTATTAGGATAGACATTCAGGTTTTGTTTGTGTGTGATAAATATCGAATACTCGTTAAGTAAAGTCACTGCTGATAGTATTTGAAAATAGTAGCCTCCCTTTATAATACAGATGGTGATAAATTATAAAGGGGGTAATTTTTGTTCATTTTCTTGTATATTTTCTGTGATATTTATCTAATCGTTCAAATTTGCACATTTCTTTTTTGTTGTCACTTTGGCTATATATAGAAATTGTGAAATAAACTATTTCATAAACGATTATGAAAGTGTTATCACTTAAGACTCGGAGTGTCATTTGTAAAGTTCGTGCTTAAGAAAATTAATGGTACGTGCCACTCGGTAGCATCTAAGATCATACGAGATCATTTTAGCTCACCTGAGCTAGCTCAGACTGAGCTTTTAGGATCGTTGAATATCCAAAGTCCATCGTTTGTCGTCCATCCACATTTGTTCGTTAACACTTTAGTGGTCACATTGCTGCCTCAATCATCACCAAACTTCGTCAAAATGCTTGTCTAGGTAATTGCTCAAATAAGAACGAACACGGGTCATCGAGGATGAATAACTAGGTCACAGGAACTAAAAATAAAAAATTCTTGTTTAAACTCTATATACATGTACTCTATACATGTAATAGCTTCTGTTTTGATTCAAATATCCTGGAAATTTGTCTGAAAGTTTGTTTTGATGATTTCTAGGTCAAGTTCGAATATGGGTCACCTGGGGTCAAAATCTAGGTCACACTGCCCAAATATGAAGAAAAAACCTTGTTAACACTAGTGGTCACAATTTTGACTCAATTGTCATGAAACTTAGTCAAGATGCTTGTGTAGTTAATTGCTTCTATGTATTTGAACATAGGTCATCATGGACAGAAGCTTAAAATAAAAGAAATCTTGTTAACACTCTAGTGGCTACTGTTTGATGAAAATATTCTTGATATTGGTCTGAAAGTTTGTTTTGATGATTGCTAGGTTAACTTCGACTATGGGTCACCTAGGGTCAAAAACTAGGTCACACTGCCCAAATATGGAAAAACGTTGTTATCACTCTAGTGGTCACATTAAAGTGTAAAGAACAGATAATTTAATAAACGCATTTTATTATAAGTAGATCTTATTGAAATTAAATGTGTGTTCACGTTGAAAATATAAAACTATAGAAAATATTTGCACGACCTTTAAGCTTTGGGCAGTGAAAAGTGGTATAAGTAAATTGTATTCGAACGGAATTTTCGTGTACCTATTTCAATCGGACATAATTCACTTTCATTCACGATGAACTATGTGAAAATGGCTGCATTCAAAATTAAGTCTTATTAACGAAATTCGATTGTCATTCAACTTTGAAACTGTCTTTGTTTTACGTCAATGTTATAATAATAACGTTTTGGTCCTTTAATTTGGATAGTTTCCTTAATCACATGCTTAGCTTAACGCAATGTTCAGCTGTATGTCGCCGATGATTTTTTTTGGGAGGGGGAGCTGGGACAGTAAATGTCATGTTTATGTTGTTAAACAGGTTTTCAACGAAAACCGGGTTATTGTAAAGCCGAAAATTGACGGGCGGGCTTGCATGCGGGCAACGTATTGGTTTCCGCTCAATTACTTAAGTTTGCTTTGGCCTATTGACACAAAACTTGATGTGTAGGTAGCTTCTATCAAGAGGCAGCTTGGGATTGCTACCCAGGTGTCTGTGATCAAGGCCAAGGTCACTGTTACTAGAAATAGAAATTCAGTTTCCGCTCAAAAACTTGACTTTGCTTTGGCTTATTGACACCAAACTTGGTGTATGGATAACTTTTATCAACAGGCAACTTGGGATTGCTAGCCAGGTGTCTGCGATCAAGGTCAAGGTCACTGTTGCTAAAAAAAGAAATTCAGTTTCCGCTCAATATCTCGAGTTTGCTTTGCTATTGACACCAATCTTGGCGTTTATTGCTACCCAAGTATCAGTGGTCAAGGTCATTGTTACTAAAAAAGAAATTCACTTTCCGCTCAATAACTTGAGTTTGCTTTGGCCTATTGACACCAAACTTGGTGTGTATGTAGCTTATATCAATAGGCAGCTTGGGATCGCAACCAAGGTGTCTGTGAATAAGGTCATTGTTACTAAAAATAGAAATTCAGTTCCCTCTCAATAACTTTAGTTTGCTTTGGCCTATTGACACAAAACTTGGTGTATCAGAGGCAGCATGGGATTGCTACTCAGGTATCTGTGGTCAAGGTCAAGGTCATTGTAACTTAAAATGGAAATTCAGTTTCCGCTCAATAACTTGAGTTTGCTTTGGCTTATTAACACCAAACTTGATGTATGGGTAGCTTATATCAAGAGGCAGGTTTGGGTTGCTACCCAGATGCTTATGATGAAGGTTAATGTATTCAGTTTTCACGTAATATCTTGAGTTTGCCTTGACCTTTTGACATCAAACTTGCTGTGTGACAGTTTTGGGTAAGGTCAAAGTTATTTCCTTACAATATCATTTTCAGCTTCTACTCAATAACTTCAGTGCATTTTGACCTATTGATTGCTGTCACAACATTGGTCGTTGAAAACCTGGTTTTCGTCGCATTGCGGCGCTTATACAATATACGATATATAAAAAAGAATATAGTTTTAGTATCATCCAACGAACACCTGTTAGTTTCGTCAGTGCTAAAATCAACAGTAACTTTGTCCCTGGAAATGGCCATCCAATTTATTTGATCCTTTCTCTCCGAACTGAATTCACTCAGGAGTTGCACTATCAAGTTCGCTACAACTTTCCATCGGTTTCTATGGTGTCCTGTTTGAGGCAGTTAAAATATTGCCTGTTACGATTTAATTTTGACTAAATCTCTTGTTTTAGCTTGACTATTCGAAAAAAAGGGAGAGCTTTTGTAAGTATGAATTTTGACAGAACTATGGCCCCTTTGTACTTAGAATATTCTACATTATTCAGGCTCTTGTTTTACTACCAACACTAAGAATAGTCGAGCTCACTAGCTCTTGTTAATAGATAAGTAGCGAGATTTAACATTCTTTTTTGAAGAACTTTCACTTTAGTCTTTGGTACTGTAAAAAAGTTACAGTTCTCGAAAGAAACATGCAGAAAATAAGGTTAATCATCGCGAAGATTTTTATATTTTGATTCGCTCGAGGATTTAAGTTAAGCATGAGACAAATTCAATGAATGGCGCGAAAAGTTTCATACCAGAATGAAAAATCTTGCTACTTTATCTATAATTATACGACTGTAACCTCAGCAGAGCTATTAAAAAATGTCTTACGTCTGTAAGAAGAAACTTTTTAATAACCGTTACTTTCCACGTTGATTTAGTACAGTTGAAATAAACATGTCCTGCTTGGGCCACTTAAAGGACACATATTGACATGCAGAATTTTTTCTTAAAGTCTTGTCCTGCCTTACTGTATTTTATAGATAAAGTAGAAAGATTTGGCATTCTCGTATGAAACTTTTCGCGCCTCGAAAAAGAATGCTAAATCTCGCCACTTATCTATTAACAAGAGCCAGTGCGCTCGACTGTTTTTTTCAGTGCTTTATAGTAAAACAAGAGCCTGAATAATGTAGAACATTGTAAGTTCAAAAAGGACCATAGTTCTGTCAAAATTCACAATTACAATAGCTCTTCCTATTTTTTCGAATAGTCGAGCTAAATAAAAGATTTAAATCTTAAATTGACGATACGAATAGTTGTTAGTCTGACATTCTATTAAAAAAACAACAACATTAACATGACATGAAATGTCTCCCCTCCCCCCTCGCCTACAGAAAAAAATCAACGGCCATAAACAGCTAAACATTGCGATAAGCTAAGCATGTGAATAACGAAACTTACCAAAACGTTATAACATTGACGCAGAACATGTTGAGAGACGGTTTCAATGTTGAATCTCTCTGATGAAGGCAGCCATTTTAACATAAAATGGCTTTCTGGTTTATAAAAGAGAAACATTTATGAAAGTGAATTCTGTCCGATTAAAATATGTGCACGACAATTCCGCGCGAATCCAATTTACCTACGACTTACACTGCCGAAAGCTGAAAGACCATGCAAATATTTTCTATAGTTTTATTTTTTTCAACGTGAACATAAAACAAAAAATGATTAAATATGTTAATAAATAAATACAGAAAGGCGGGGCGAGACAGTAGAAAAAATATAGCATGCCAATAGGAGCATGTCTATAAATGGCACAAGCAGGACACGTATACCTCAAGTGTATTATTTAAGTGTCTTCTTACTGACGTATGAAGACACTTTTTGAATAGGTATAGTCGTATGACTAACTAATCATGTGAGAAGTTTAGTGAAAATACCGGAGGCGCTGTTCATTTAATTGATTAAAAATTCAAAAATTAAGTCGGGACATATAAATTGCTGGTAAACTTACATGTTTTCATTAATGAGTGAACAGAAAGTTAACATTTACAGCTTCACGGTACTTGACAAGATTTTTCAACAATAAAGTTTACTAACGTAATAAGCTGGATTTTTTAATGGCTATATTTTGTCTCACATTTATTGATTCGATATTTCTAAACAATATGCATTGTAAACGTGACTGTGTATCGAGTCGAAATGTGTTTTGAATTATTTTGTGAAAAACAACGACGGAAAAACTTCGGTGGAATATATTAGCCAATTAGTAATGTCGGGGACCGAAGCTGAACCGTTGTTTGCCCTGTTGGAGCTCATGCTCCGGACCTTTACGGCAAATACAGGGCCTAAAATAAAACCAGGCGGGCATCCGGAAGATATCTTTGTATGTTTGAATGATGAAGAAAAGGAGGAAATAGAATGCAGACTATGGTAAATCACTTTTTGACTCTATCCTAGGAATCTTACAATGAAGGGTTTAATACCTAATTGAGGTCGGTATTTCAGGCCAGCCATGGCTGGTTGAACGATATTTCATGCAGTTATAATTTTCCTACCTATTTGTTTTATAGCTGAGATCAGGGTCGTCTATGTGAAAGACCCGGCTGAGAAGTGGTATGCACTAACTTAGAGAAAAGTGGGTTGTTTCATGCAATTTATATGCTAAGATTAAACTAAACAATTAGTTTTTAATTTGCAATCAATGTCAATGTCATTTGGCGACATCCATATGTTTTATATACTTACAAACCATACCCAAACTGGCAAGGTTGGCGACAGGGGGAACTAAGATATTTTAAGATTGGCATAGCAATAGAGGTACAACAACAGCGAAAGGAGTGTTCAAGCTTTAAATGTTGATGTGGTTTTAACCCGTTAACGACGTGGATGAGTGTCCGCCTTGCAAATGAGAGGTTCGAAGAGTTTTCAGCGGGGTTTTAAATATGACCGGTGTAATATGACCTTTATTGATAATAAACTTTAAAACGATAAAAAAAACCTCTGTTAACCTTATTTGTTGAACTTATAAATAAATACATGTAGCAAATATTATGACGAAGGGGAATGACAACAATTAAGTACCATCTTGTGTTGCTATCTTAAATGAATGGTTCAAATAACCAAAAACTAATGAAAATGTAATAAAGGGCCATTGTGGTGATTAAGATATACATGTACCTCTAAAATAAACAGTAGAATTCTGTCTGAGGGAGTTCTTTCGTAATCTGATTTACGCATTTGCTGGAGCTAATGCAAAGAGATACACTCTTCCATCTTCTAATTCGCCAAATGACAGTGACAGAGTCAATATCAACAAAAATATCATATGATGATAAATATAGCTTAATTCTAGGCAACTTGTCTGTCTAGAAAAAGAAAAAACATTTAGTTTACGTTATTGTACACGAACTTAAGAACCACGAACATGCCAGTTTTGATAAAACCACGAAATTTCATGCCCACGAATACAAAAGATTTCACACTATATGATATTTGATATTAATGAAAATTTGTATACGGTTCCTTTGCGGATTTTCGAATATCTTTATATGATAAAGTAAAGAAAAAGTCAGCAGAATCTGTTTGCATTTATTTTCAGCTACCGAATCCTAAAAGATGTTCGCCAGTGTCAAAACAAACATGCATTTTGTTATTCTTGTATTTTCGTCTGGTCTACCAGTGGAAATCCAATCAACCGCAGCCTATGTCCTGTGTGCAGCGTCGAGGGACTATATGTTAGAAACACTGCATTAGATGAAAGAATAAATGCCAAAATAGTAAAATGTTCTAAGAACAAATGTAAATGGAACGGCCCACTTGAAGGTCTATCTTCACATCAACACACGAAATATTCAGAAGACACTCGTGTGTCATCAACAGAACTTCCGGTTGTTGCAAATAGTCCTGCACCAACGCCGGTGTCTAATTCAAGGAGCCGCTCACGCGCAGGTTCTTCACAAATATCATCTACGCCATCATCGCAGACATCAGTTAATTCTAGACCAAATGCCCAGAGGCAGCTTTTAGGAACACAATCCTTGAATAATAGCAACAATGCACAAACAAACAGCAGGACCAGTCAACGTGCCAATGGACAAACAACAACGCGCTCAAGAACGCGTAGCAGACACCGCCAAAATACTTCTCCGCACCAACGTCGGTCAAACATTTCGGCTACAGGTCTGACTAATCGGCTTACATCTCGCGCAAGAATACAAAACAATGGAACAATAGACAAAAGAACAATGAATGGCCAATCAACAACGCGTAATTTAGTTTCTACAGCAGACGAAAACCAAAATCCTGTTGTAGAGCAAGCAACAACGGAAACAGTACATGTTCCACACCCACCGACGACACCCCGCTCCTCAACAATCACTCCGCGTCCTTCACAAACACCCCGGCGTCTACCAACGTTACCAAACTTGCTACCTCTCAACAGTAGCAGCAGCAAAAGTAACAACAACAACAACAATGATAATTCCAACAGTGCCACTAACAGTCAAACCACAAATACAGATAATAACAATAATTTAAGACCTACAGTGCCTTCATCTTTTAATGACATTGCTGAGACCCAACGTCGATTCACTCTTAAAGCGTCGTCCATTCGGCGACCATCTCAGCCGCGCTCTTTCGGGATAATTCGCGAACGGTTAAATGAAAGTCGCCAACGTTTGGACAGACTTATGAACGTGTTTTCAGTAGAACTTGACAGAGGGCACCAAGATCCGACTTCATTCCAAGAAGAACGCGAACGCAGACGACAGGAGCAGTTGGCGGAGGTTCGTGACCTCGGCAGACGACTAACACAAGTTGCGACAGAATTGCGCGGACTGTTGTCGCAGAGACGCCAAATAAGAACTCAGATGGACAATCTCTTAGAATCTGCATCAGACGATCAGGATGAATGAGTTGTGTGACCTGTGATATAATGACTATTACATTACAAGAATTATTATTAGTTAAAGCTGTAAAAAGATAAAAGAAAACAAATGTTGCTCCAACTCGTTCTACTTTCTAAGAAAGTAGACTTACGGTGAGATCTTTTTAAATATAAATTTGTCATCACACATACATTGGTATCTTATGTAAAGCTTTCATCTGGCAAGAATGTAAAATTCCAGGTGTATACGAGCTAAATATCAATCTTACAATTTTCATGAATATCATTTGTTTTTTATTTATTTCATTTTTGGTTAAGAAAAATGTAATTTTAATCAGTATAAGTATAAAAAGTACCAGTCAACAGCCGCAAATTTAGTTTTAGTTTTAGTTCTAAAACAGTGTTAATATTGTTGATAATAATATTGACTATACCTCTGGTCGTTAGAAAATAAGGAACTAAGCTCGTTCATTATGGGTAAAAAAAATCTTTATTAATGTTATTTTACATTGTACAAAAAGTACATTCCTTTCCTTTTCAATATAGATTGATATTATTGTAACTTCAAGGACATACATAATTATTATAACATTACATTTTCTATGTATATCCTTTGTATGGGTCGCAAAATATGTTTTGTTTACAGTTATATAGTTCAGACAAATTACTTTTTGTGCAGCCGGCTGGTTAAATCTTGAATAATCGACGAATGGGATATGATATTTACTTTCTTTATCGCTCGTTGATCAATAATATCGTCTCTATGATAAGTGTTGTAAAGCGTTTTGTTGAAATTACAACACATTATGCCTGTATTGTTTACATAGCTTGAAAATTAATTATTCTCTCCATGGTTGCGTCATCAACTGATAAATGCACATTTTTTTTAAATAATGTAAACACTCGTTATTAAAAATACATGAAATTATGAAATTTAAAAGATCAGGATTTTTAGCTTATAGTGCTTTAATCAATAAGTATAGAGTATTTTTTTCATACTAATGTAAACAGTAACACATATTGTATTTAAAAAAAAATATGTACATGTATGTAATTTGATTCGAAACGAACCGGAATTTATCTTTTATGTATTTGTTTTACGCAGACCCTATTTACGTTTTTGATTATATAAATCCATCATTAAACTAAATTTTGGAATTAAGTACAGATGTACTGTAATTTGGCACTTTGTATGGAATTTAAATACCATTTTGTTTACATTTCACTACTTTTATGAAAAAATTATTTCACATTCAGCCTGATAATCGTAATCTGTTATTGTAAAGAGTATTTCTGAAAATCAATGTGCCTTAAATTGAAAAAAAAAAAAAACAACAAACAACAGAAAGAGTATACAGCAATTTTAGGACACGACAATTGTCTCAGAATGAAAAGGGTTAAAAAAGTAAATTTGTAAATATGATATAAAATACTTGCACATTTTAGTGTTACTCTTGCACATTTTAGTGTTACTCTGTTTCAATTTTAGATTTAATTTTGTATTGAAATTTGTCGTCTGTTGTAATTTTTCAGAATCCAGTAAATCATACTGTTTCAAAACGTAACTTAAATGCGAGGGGGGAAAGAACATTGGTTTAACAAGTCCTTCCTCAAATTAAGGTGCCGGATGACCAAGGCCCATATAAAGTTTTTTGTTTGTTTCCATGTAAACATTGTATTGTCCAATCATGGCTTTCCATTTGGTTACGCAATTACTATGACATAATATTATTATAAGATGACATTTTAACATTTATTTCTTGAAAGTAAAGGGGTCTGAATCGCGTTTGTCACTGTATTACGAGATACATACATGCTATAGCAATGAACATTTTTTTATTTTTGGTTCAGAGGTATGGATAATAAAAAAACATTTTGAATTTGTATCAGTACACTAAAAACAATTTTAGATAAATTATAAAAGTGGCATTTTTGTGGTGATTAATGGGCCTTTAAAAGTGCTCTATATTTCGGTTATTATTGTTTAACATGCTTTAGAGGTATTATCTATTAACACTGCAATTGTTATTGGTTATGCATTTTATATAAATGTTTAGTTTTACCACAAGGTCCGACCTTTTCATCATCAGGGAGTGTGATTTTTTCTATGGACATTTTATCATCTCAGGAAACTGTTCCCTTCTTGACATCAAAAATTGAGTGCATAGTCATTGACCAATATGTGCCATGAATTAATTCTTGCTGCTAGTATATGGTTTCAATTTAACACATATAGTCTCATTATGAATATAGGCCTACTAAATGTTAAAGAAATTCCACTTAAGTACAAAAGCCTGAAAATGTAAAAATTTATTTTCTTACATTGATCATCAGCATGGGGCAGTTTTAAACAGAAAGACATACAAAAAAGATAATTAAGAAACATATACATATATACTCGGAATTAAGTTGAAAATCGTATTGTGTCTTTTCTTAGCACGATTTTAGGGAAAAACGTTGTAGCGCTTATCAATTTCTGGCACTATAAAATTTCAATTTCTCACAATTTAAATAATTATTCTGGAAAAAAAGAGTGGCTGAACGATCACATGTTAGTGGTCTAGACCGACATCAAGTTAAATATTAGACCGCTAATCTTGAAAAAAAATATTTCCAGTCCCGTCATGTCAAAAAAAACTTCTTTGGGGTTCCTTTAATATTGGATTATTAGAATATACATTCAGGTTGTGTTTATGTGTGATAAATTTCGAATACTCGTTAAGTAAAGTCACTGCTGATCTGTTAAAAGTATTTGAATAAGGTAGCCTCCCCTTAATAATACAGATGGTGATAAATTATAAAGGAAGGTAATTTATGTTAATTATCTTGTATATTTTCTGTGATATTTATCTAATCGTTCAAATTTGCACATTTCTTTTTTGTTGTCACTTTGGCTATATATAGAAATTGTGAAATAAAATATTTCATAAATAATTATGAATGCGTTATCACTTAAGGCACGTAGTTTAATTTATTAAGTCCGTGCTTAAGGAAGGAAATCACAATGGCACGCTCGATAACATCCAGATAGAGTACGAGACTTTTTTGCAGTTTACCAGACAAATACAAATACGCTTGAAAATGAATCTATGTCATAGCAATATCCTGATTTCTGTTAGTTTGACTAAGATATTTATATACAATATAATAGGAAGTGCTATCCTTCCCGCCCGTGCTTTGGCGTAATTTTTTACGATTAACTTAAATACTAGTACATTTGTATAGCATGGAGAGCTATCCTTTTCTTGTCGCCCGTACTTTGATGTGATTTTTTAAGCTCGACATAAATAATGATATAACATAGAGAGCTATACTTCTTTGGTGCCCGTACGTACTTTGGCGTTATTTCTTTAAGCTCGACTTACTTGATAATATAACAAGTAGAGCTATCCTCGCTCATGCGTCGGTGTGACGACTTCTTTCTACTTGACGGTGGTCGGAGCGATTTTTCGATAATTATATAATAGGGATATATATTCTTCTCGCCCATGCGTGGGGACCAACTTGAAAAAAAAATAACTGGGAGAACTATCTACTCTTCCGTGAGTGAGCGATTTCTTTAAAACCAGCTTAAATAATTATATAACAGGGAGAATTATCTACTCGTGCGTGGGGTAATTTTTTATAAAGCTTGGCTTAAATAATTATACAAGGTCAATTTTTAAAAAAGGCAAGCCGGCATAACAAGTAGAATTACTGTACTCTCCCGTTTGTCGGCGTGATTAAGCTTTCTTCACTACTCGAATAGTTGAACGCCTTGTCCTAATGACAGCTCTTGTTTTGTATTTTCTAGACATCCATTTCAAACTACACGTACTTCTGAAAATTATTCGTATTATTTGGGAAAAGATCACCAGTGCACTTTTTTTGTGATGAAATAATTGTTACCAGAATACTGTGAACAGATATAGGTACCTTCGACATGTTAATCTCTTGAAAAATATAATGAATTAAGTCAAAGATGTATCGCTGTTACTTCAGTGATGATGGTATTTAAATAAGTGTTCAATTTTCTTCTTTTTTTTTGCTAAAATATTTTTTCTTCAGGCAGGGTCTTTCAAATAGGACCCTGCTTCAGGCTACCTCCTTTCCATATTGTTTCAAGGAACTGTACACTTGTGACCGAGTTTTGGCTCAAAATATTCATATCTTTGGCTAATACTCCGTGGAAATTGCATGAAGGTAAATTATCACCATTTTGTGCTTCAAAATTAACCCTTTAAGGGCATGACTGGTGACATGTACCGGGTCCGTACTCGACAGCTAAAGCTGCTTTTTGTACCCTTCACGGGCAGATGGACCCTTATTAAGCATAGGCTACACACACACACACACACACACACACACACACACACAATTTTTCTTTTGCCACCGATGTTCACAATAGGGCTGCCAACAATAAACAACTAATTCTCTGTCGAGAGAAGCGGTGGCCTAGTGGTTAAAGTGTCTGTCGTTCAACCCAGGAATCACAGGTTTAAGCACTAATCGGATCACGATCATGTTTTTTCATATTACACCAGTTACTGGTTAGTTTCAGGAAGCGGACTCAAAAGTGATCAATATAAGTTTGCAAGAATTTATTTTGCAATCAAGCTAAAATATGTTTAGACTAAATTGTATAATGGTAAAATGAAACAAACTCTAAGCACCATTTTGATATGTTTTATTTGAAATTATCTAAATCAGTAAATAAACATGAAAAGCAAATATGGAAAGCGTGTTACTTTAGAAACGAAATGGCTAGACTTTTTTTCAAAAGAAAGATGTAAATTCTTGTCCAATTTTCTTTTTTTAACAATAATAATCGTAAACCCTTTTGGTTAAAAAAAATTAAAGTAATTTGCACCAAGAAATTAACCAATTTTCTTCTTATATACAAACATTTGTTTTCATGAATTAATTGAAAATAGAAAAGAAATGTTAACAATATATGCATCAAGTATGTAAATTTAATTTAAGGCAAGTTATACATAATGTAAAATAAGCTTTTAATAAGCTTTTTGAAAGAAAAAAAAATGACATGGAATGCCAAGATTTAGAATGTATGTTAAATATATTAAGAAAATAATATAATAATAATATATATATAATGTTCCCTTTAACAAAGTGTGGTACAGATCTACTGCAGTATAACAAGAATAACACATTAAATTAGCACAGTCTAAAACATATTGCAACATAGTCTGTTTAAACCTTCACCATGTCGAATTTATGTAATGAAATTTGTCTTGCTTTAAATCTAAAATGAATCTTAGTAGTTTATGGATTGATATATTTAAAAAAAACAACAATACAATAGCAATTAAAGGTTTGAAAAGGCAATTATAAGCTAAGCTTAAAGTTTTAAGATGAATGAAACAATCTAGATTGCACAGATTTTCTCCTTTACACTACATGTTTAAAGTAATTGCAGCATATTGAACATTTGACCTTGAATAGCAAAAAGCAATCCTTGAAACAACAAGATCTAAACAGAAAAAAAACCTAAAAAAACAACAAAACACAATATACATTCATTAAGTGTTCTAAAGGAAAAATACATATTTGCTTCATCATTGAAATATAAAAAAAATTTCGCTCACAGAATATTAATCATTGTAAAGCTTTTGTTTTCTGTATTTGATTTTTAATGTTGCACTAACGCAGTAAAGGTCATATGGTGACTTTCCAAAATGTATGGGACAATGGTACTGCTACATTATATAGTTTCAAAACTTGAAAGTAATATCATCATAATATTCAAGTATATTTTCAAAATATTTTCATGATGATATAATTATAATGTAGTGTTGGCATCAAGACATTTGTGTATATCAAGGTGATGGTTACATATTCAAAAAGAAACTACATCATCAGATAATTAATTCTATAAACCCTTACTTTGCTTTAAACCAAAATTGATTAGCCTTTTGGCCTCAGCCAGCCAAGCACATCCATGCCGTCCGACCTGTCTATATACTGATGGCTGGCTATATTAGAATTTTTAACTTGATATACCCAAAACTGACAATAAACAGTTCCAAGTATGGTAGGTGGATTAAAGAAACTTGGCAGAGTGTAAAACAGGTTATTTTAATGTTTGCTGACTGAACATCACATTTAAGCACATCCTGGTACCGAGCTTTTGAACAAATCATTTTCCTTACCCTCGGCTACGACAGTAACAGGTGTCCACGGGACTGATGTTCCTTGCAAATATTTCTGTTGAACACAAATAAAAAGAGTGATATTCTAAAGAATGTATTTTTGTAAAAAAAATACATTATATAATAAAACTTTTACATGAAAAATGTATTTATTTGTAAGTTTATATTTGAAATTTTACTCATTAAAAAGAAGTGAGTTTTAAAATAGCAAATAAATCTGACACACTCAAATTTCAACATGAAAAGTATTTTTTGAAAAATAATTTTTAAAATAGGATTTTTTTCAAACAGTAACTTAATTATTGCTTCCTCCTCTATTGCATGTTTTATAATACTGCACGTTTGTAACGTCATTTTTCATTGGATAATCGTGACGTTTATATAGTTTTATATACACGGCTGCTGTCGATTCATGAAGAAATCTTACGTTTTTTCTATAAAAATGATGCTTGCTGTATTATAAATTCGTTATAAAGATTGTTGACAGGTTATATGGCCGTATATAAACGGCTGTTTGCAATATAACCCTCGCCTAACGGCTCGGGTCATATTTACAAACAGCCGTTTATATAGGGCCATATAACCTGTCAACGATCTTTATAACTAATAATATATCAATTTACCTGACTGAGTGTAAAGCATTAATTTACAAGTGAATGAATTATTATCAATGACCTCAAATCACCTGTCAATAAAACCTATATTGTCATAACATGTTTGTTTGATTGGGTTTTATTTTGCACCAACACAGTATAAGACATATGGCGACTTTACAGCTTTACTTGTGAAGTTAGACCTCAGGTGCCCTTCACTCCGAAAACTAGCTAGATAGCTTCCTCATATGAAAGAATCCAAAGTCCCTGTCAGGTGAGGGTTGCCATCATATAAAAATAAGAAATAAAATAAAACTTACATGAGCATATCCAAACGCATTACGTCTCTCATCAACAGATGCTTCAGTACCAATCCAAACAAACAAATGCTTGTCTTTATGTACCAAATATGCAGCCTACAACACAAAGAAAATACCTAGTAATACATATTAAAATCCAGCAGTTGCAAATAGTCTGATGCCAAATTCACGAAGCCGATCAAGCACAGGTTCTTCACAAATGTCATTTACTTAATCATCACAGACATCATTTAATTCTAGACCAAATAGCCAGATATTAAACAAAATCTTTTCTGTCTGTCTGTCTCTTAAAAGTCTAATATATGAACACAATGTTTTAATACACTGGTTCAGTAACTAGCTGTAGAGAAATGTTGCTGTAACAGCATTTGTGACAGGTCATATATACATAATCTTAAACTTTAACACAGTATCTTAACTGTCTGAGTTCACTTTATGAATTATTTTGAGATAACCCTAAAAGATTATCTGGAACTCCGAAAATGTGGGTTTTTCTCAGCTAATTTGCAGTTACAAACAATTTTGTCATCATTATATCTTCACGGTGCACTACCCGGCACAATAGATAAGTCCACCTGTTGCACTTATTTTCAAAGCTGTAACTGTAAAAGTTTGTTTGTACCTACAGATTAGCTTCGAAAAAGCCAAAAATATCTATTTTTCCAGATTGAATTTGTATGTCACAAGAAAGCTCTGATGACCTAGCATCATTTGTCAAAATATACTTATATAAATGTAATTTTATAAGTTTGAATGCAATGAATTAGTAGAAAATTAATTTCCCTTTGTCCGATACATATTTCCGATAGGTGTCGCCAGTATTACGATGCACGAAGTTTACATGCTTGAATAAGTATGTGTATATCGCTCATTCAGCTTTGGGCAGCCGGCTATACACAAACGTATTTTTTTAGGGTAATATTCTATTGTATTTCATAAGAGTATTCAGTGGATTTTGATATAAGATCATGTTTCATATACGGTATATTAATCTTATAGTCAAATATAGTAATGCATTCATTAATTATGAATTTATGTTAATGTGAATATATTGTACTGGTTCAGCCGGTTGTTCAAGTGCTACTTACAAATTATAAGTTAAGTAATTCATTTTATGTGTTTGTCTTTATTTCGGAAATATGGTGGTTGAAGGGAAGTTTAAAATAACCTTTAACCTTCAAAAACCAAAAGTGCAATCTGACCTGGGGTTCTATTATATTGCTGGCAGCTCAGCTGTTGTATTTTGATATTGAAATCCCTTTAAATGTTAAATTGACAATTCCAAATTCTTGGTGAGGCAAATTCATTAAAATTTTTAGAAGATTAAAGATTTTAGTCACACAAAGAATGCTACAAAGAAATTTTGAGGTGAATTTGACCAGAACTTATGAGAAAGCTTATTCAAAACAGATCTTGATCCTGAATTTGATCTTTATTTTGATCTGATCGATTCCTCAATTTGATAAAAAAATAGGGCTTTTTTTCTTTTGTTTTTTTTTCTTTGTAAAACAGCACGTTTTTGCACATTCCTTACACAAGTTCAATTTTAATTTTACAAGGTTAAAATGAAAAGCACAGAGTACAAAGCCTGTTTGACAGGTTTTATACCAGTGGCAAAGCTTCATGACTTTCAATTTCTGCCGAGTGACAGTTAAACAAAAGAACAAAAAGTTCTACACTTACATCCGACGTGAGGTCATCTCTACTAACTTCCCCTTCTTTCACGTCCTCTAGGTCACAGGTTCCGTCAGCATCACACACCTTCTTCAGAACAACAGCGTCATCATCATCAGCATCTGGCTCATCATCATCATCATCCTCTCCATCAAGGTAACCATAAACTGCGTGCTAAATAAATAAAATCATTGCAAGGAATTACATTATATGGTCTAACCTGGTTTCCTAACCAACAGAAGTTTAAATCCAAAATAATCGTCCTCAATAATTTTTATCCCATGTGCAATATATGACTGTTTTTTTGCAGTATTTATCATCATATTTCTACTGTGTTACTAACACAGTAGGGGCTATTTTTGCATATTTTGACCTCTTCTTGGTAATTTACGTCCATTATAAGTGTCCATTGCAATGTGTCAATTACCTTCTTTGTTCATTTCACAATATTTTACTTTAGACACATTTGACGAAATTTTCATGAAAATTAGGATGAATCTCTAGGCATGCTGCTTTAGGACATACTTTCATTCAAACAGTTTTTTTCTGCTAATTATTTTTCTTATTTGTGGGGTGTGGTGGGTACGGTGGGTTTGTGGGTGTCAGGTATGGTAACACTGTAAAAGACATGTGGCGATTTTTTTCCAGCCTAACTTGTGTCCCTCAGTGCATTCCTTCAGGCATGAACTGTCACCTGAGTAGAACCACCAACGTTCCTTATTCTGCGGTAATAAGTGTTGCTTCTGTTAAAGACTTACATTAAAAGTTGAGACATTCATTAAAAGTGGAACAATAAGAGTAAACAAGAGGGCCATGATGGCCCTGAGGTCGCTCACACTGTATATAGCCCCCCCCCACCCCACCCCGGGCCAATTTTTACCTAAGGGCTTTTATTTGTTTATTTGAACAGACTTGGTAGACACCCATAAGAAGATGTTTCATGCTAAACATCTAAGTTCTAGCTCATTGGGTTTTTTTAAAAGAAGATTTTTAAAGTTTTTACTATACACATATAGTTAAAAACAATGACACCCTGGGGCAGGGCCAGTTTTTGACCCCCAGGCTTTTATTTGAACAAACTTTGTAGATATTTACTTAAAGATGTTTCATGCTTAATATCTAAACTCTAGCTATTTGGGTTTTTTCAAAGAAGATTTTTAAGTTTTTGCTATACACATATAAGGAAAATCAATGAACCCCCAAACCCCCCCCCCCCGGGTGGGGCCAGTTTTGACCCCAGGGCTTTTATTTGAACATACTTGGTAGACACCCATTAGAACATGTTTCATGCTAAATATCTTAGCTCTAGCTCTTTGAGTTCTTTAAAAGAAGATTTTTTAAGTTTTTACTATATGCATATAGAGAAAATCTATGACCCCCTGGGGCGGGGTCAATTTTGACCCCAGGGCTTTTATTTGAACAAATTTGGTAGACATTCACTAGAAGATGTTTCATGCCAAATATCTAAGCTCTAGCTCTTATGGTTCTTTAAAAGAAGATTTTTTAAGTTTTTACTATATGGATATAGGGAAAATCAATGACCCCCCCGGGTGGGGCCAATTTTGACCACAGGGCTTTAATTTGAACAAACCTTGTAGACACTCACTAGAAGATGTTTCATGCTTAATATCTTAGCTCTAGCTCTTTAGGTTCTTTAAAAGAAGATTTTTTAAGTTTTTACTGTATGCATATAGGGAAAATCAATGACCCCCTGGGGCGGGGCCAATTTTGACCCCAGGGCTTTTATTTGAACAAACTTGGTAGACATTCACTAGAAGATGTTTCATGTTTAATATCTAAGCTCTAGCTCTTACGGTTCTTTAAAAGAAGATTTTTTAAGTTTTTACTATATGCATATAGGGAAAATCAATGAACCCCCGGGGCGGGGCCAATTTTGACCCAAGGGCTTTTAATTTGAAACAAACCTTGGTAAACACACATTAGAAGATGTTTCATGCCAAATATCTTAGCTCTAGCTCTTTGGGTTCTTTAAAAAGAAAGATTTTTAAGTTTTTACTATATGCATATAGGGAAAATCAATGACCCCCTGGGCGGGGCCAATTTTGACCCCAGGGCCTTTATTTGAACAAACTTGGTAGACAATCACTAGAAGATGTTTCATGCCAAATATCTAAGCTCTAGCTCTTAGGGTTGTTTAAAAGAAGATATTTAAAGATTTTTCTTTCGGTTGCCATGGCAACCAGAGTTCTGCATGGAATTAAATTCTTTGAACAATTTTTAAAGGTGACCACCAAAGGAACATTCCTGTGAAGTTTGGATGAAATTGGCTCAGTGGTTTATGAGGAGATGTCATTTAAAGCAAAAGTTTACGGACGGACGACGGACGGACGGACGAAAAGCGATCACAAAAGCTCACCCTGTCACTTTGTGACAGGTGAGCTAAAAAATTATTAAAGACTAACTTAATGTGAGTTTTCATTCAAGCAAATCAAAATTTTACTAATGATTTCTTGTTAATTATCACTTAACCCATTGCTTCATGAGCATTTTGTGAAAAATGGCTGTTTTCATTGAAAAGTCTCCCGTTACAAGTTCAAATTGCTATAATACTATAAAAACTGCTTAAACACTAATCAAACTTGGCACAAATGTTGACTGGACCATTGCCCTTGCAACACATGCTCAGGCTTAAATTTTCTGTTACCATGGCAACGAGGGGACATCTCTCAAAATTGCCAAAAATCACTATTTTGCGTTGATTTTTTTAACAATCATAATTGATTTCAAAGTGCTGCAACTTCTCAATGGATTGAGATAGAGTCAAATGCTTTTCAGCGTTGGTTACACGTTACCTTATGATCAATCTGAGGTCATTTATATGCCTCTCACAAGTCCAAAAATTTTCTTGGCGATGAGGGGGACTGCCGCCCCCCTTCAAACCCCCAAAACAGAAGGGGGCATCCCCCTTCTGGCAACCCCTGATGTATCTTTTGGTTAGGGGGCGAGCCGAAAAAATGGTCACTTTTTTAAACAACATTTCTCAAACAAAAACAAGTGTTGGGGGCCTAAATAAGGCATTTTTTCACCATTTGAGACAACAAAAAGGGGGGGGGGGGGGTGAAAAAAGGCGTTTAAAGGCGTGTATATGAAGTAATGGGTTAACAGAAAATGATGAAAATACTTGAAATTACCCTAAATCGCGTTTTTCCATGTTTAAACATGGCCTGTCATATAAATTTGAAAGAAAAATGTTGTTTTGTAGATTTTTTATTTTTTTTTAACCCATTGCTTCATGAGCATTTTGTGAAAAATGGCTGTTTTCATTGAAAAGTCTCCCGTTACAAGTTCAAATTGCTATAATACTATAAAAACTGCTTAAACACTAATCAAACTTGGCAACAAATGTTGACTGGACCATTGCCCTTGCAACAACATGCTCAGGCTTAAATTTTCTGTTACCATGGCAACGAGGGGACATCTCAAAATTGCCAAAAATCACTATTTTGCGTTGATTTTTTACATCATAATTGATTTCAAAGTGCTGCAACTTCTCAATGGATTGAGATAGAGTCAAATGCTTTTCAGCGTTGGTTACACGTTACCTTATGATCAATCTGAGGTCATTTATAGCCTCTCACAAGTCCAAAATTTTCTTGGCGATGAGGGGGACTCCGCCCCCCTTCAAACCCCCCAAACAGAAGGGGGCGCATCCCCCTTCTCGCAACCCCCTGATGTATCTTTTGGTTGGGGGGCCGCGCCGAAAAAGTGGTCACTTTTTTTAACAACATTTCTCAAACAAAAACAAGTGTTGGGGGCCTAAATAAGGCATTTTTTCACCATTTGAGACAACAAAAGGGGGGGGGGTGAAAAAGGCGTTTAAAGGCGTGTATATGAAGTAATGGGTTAAAAGGGGATAACATATTAGAAAACTTACTTCAGGTGAGATACTGTCTTCCTCCAGGCATACTGTTTTAGCTTTGCCTCCTCTTTCACTGTCAATCTTTTGCATTTCTTGGGCAGCCTTAAATATTACATATAATAATATTTTAAATCATTATCATAGAAAACAAAACAACCAGAAACATCTTATTTGACACTTCTTTTGCAGTATGGTGGTGGTAGTTTTGGTAGTACACTTCAGATCACAGCTACCACGTGGATCCTGGGCAGGCTGTCAAGCAGTTTACCAGTATTAGGTAACTTCACTTTCACAAAAAAAACCTGTTACCTTCTGTACAGTGTAGATGACCATAGAAAAGATTTCATAATCACATTAAAAAGGATGTGCACAGTCTGGGAATCAAATCGATTTGCCGGGGAGGGGGGGGGGGGGGGGGGGGGGGGGTCGTCTTATCAATGATCAAACAATATTATACTCTTTTTTCTCAATTTTTATTTTCTTGAAATATTTTGGCTCATCAGTGACGGCATGCAGCTTTAAGCTATCAAACAAAAAACTAAATGATCCGCGTCACAACAAAACCAACATAATGGGTTTGCGACCAGCATGAATCCAGACCAGCCTGCGCATCCGCGCACTCTGATCAGGATCCATGCTGTTTGCTATCAATTTCTCAACTTGGTATAGAGTTTATGAGCGAACAGCATGGATCCTGATCAGACTGCGCGGAAGCGCAGGCTGGTCTGGATCCATGTTAGTCGCAAACCCATTATGTTGGTCTTGTCATGACACGGCTCAAATATGACACATGATAATTATACATGACACTTTCATACTTTATTAAACGCAAAACTTAGAACCAAACTATGTACCTTGAATTTCTCATCATGACTGCAACTTGATCCATTCCATTGGTATAATGTAAGTCCAGCATCAATAATATACACATTGTCACTTTTGAGGTTACTCCTAGTACGGGCAATCTACAAGAAAACAAGTGACATAAAAGTTACATAAACAAGTTTCTGCCTATAACACATACATGTGTGTGTTTTTACTAAAATAGAATATTCATGAATTCACATCATTATATCCAAAATCAAAACTGTTGCAGCTAAATAAAGTGAAAAAGTACAATATTTAATCATGATAATTTAACTGCAAAGAAAATTTTAATTGGTTTGTGAATATAAGCAAAATTAATATAATAATGTAAATAAAACCAGTTTTACAGTATACTAAATAATCACCATTATTCATAGGGAACTAATACTTTGTGGTTTTCATGAAAAGATCAGTTATTAAATTTGTAAGGTTATTTTTGTATTATATTTAATTCAGTCAACAAGGAAAATGTCTTTTGTGAAAAACCACAAATTACATGCCACCAAAATGAAGTGAATTAAAAGAATAAAATTGGGGTGTCTGTGGCCAAGTGGTGAACGTTGTCGACTTTAAACCACTTTTCCGTCACTGCTGTGGGTTAGAATCCCTTCCGTTTCTTTCATTTGAGGAAGCTATCAAGCTCCCTTGTGGAACCTCAGTGGTTCTACTCAGAAGCACGTTTGTGCCTAAAATCATGCACGGAAGGGCACCTGAGGTCTTCCTCCACCAGTAAAGCTGGAACATGGCCATATGACCAATACTGTGTCAGTGTGAGGATAAACCCAATCAAACAGTATAAAATCTGGTGATGACTAGTACATATGAATAATGTATATTACATACCTCCTTTGAGAATATTTTCCTCCCTTCTTTTTTCACCTCGAACAATCTCGGAACATATTCCTCAGGCACAACTCTCCTAAAACCAGTGTCTGCTCCACCCTTCATATACCTGCAATATATCATTTCACAATTAAGTTTAACATCTGACCTGGTGGGTTAAATATAGACCTTTTGACCTTCATTCTTGACCTTTGCATAATTTTACAATTACCTTTGCATAATTTTATGATAAAACTAAATATATGACCTGGCTGTTATATAAACCTTTGTTTTGAAATTTACTTTTGATCTACACTCTTGACCTTTTCGCCTGCATGGGGCTAAACAACTGATCCATGGTTATGAGTTCTTATAAAGAGTACTTACGAAATACTTTCGAAGTAAGACTTGAATAAAGTAGATTCATGGCCTTGAACTTCCCTATGCTGGATAGGCTTGTCATCCAAGAATGTATCAAGTTCTACAGTCTTATAAGCTGCAGTGCCATACTCATCCTTTAAATAAACAAAAGTATATCATTCAATACAATGTTTTCTAGAAGGGAATTAATTCTATCCAAATAAATTTAAAATTATCAATTTTCTAGAAATTTAGATTCCCTTTTTAATAAACAAAATATCTAGACTAGTATTCTCAAACAAAATTCATTCTTATTAAATAAATAAATATTTATTTCAGAATTATACAAGGACCAATCTAAGAATAAACAAATGATCAAACATTCTAGATCATATTCTACATTATTACCCCTCACTTTTTTCGTAATGCTAATTTCCCATAGGCCTCTGGGAGTTATTCTTACTGTTAATGCAAGTGTACCACGTGACTAAGAATTTTGTACTGTTACATAGGTAACAGTATTTTTTAACAGTATAAAATCTGGTCACGTGGTCTATTCTAAATAAAATGAAATAAAATGGCCGCCATTTTTTTCTCGAGTCATTCTTATTTTCGACGTTAAACCCCGATAGGACATCAATTTTTGCAATAATACTCAAAAAGTGAACATCCGTTTTCAACGGAAGTAACTGCAATGTAAATAATTATGTGTCAAACTGGAACATGCAGAGGATTAAAGCATGCAACAAAGGATTATTTAACAATTTTAATCAGTGAAACGTTACAGATATGGCGGACAGACATAGGATATCATCGTTATTTTGTCAAAAACAATGCTAAGAATATGCTGGAAACAGAAGGATCAGATTTCACAGATCATAACCGTGTAAATGGGTTGGTGTTTTGTTTTCTAAATAAAACCTAGCTTATTGTATGTTTATGATTTGTAGATATCATCACTTGCTTAAAGAATAAAAGAAAAAGAAAACTTCTTAAGTAGGCCTAAAGTACACTTAAAACTTAAAAGGTCAGGACAGTTTAGTTATTGTTACTCTTGGTTTGTTTTTGTTACAGTTAGATTTTAGTTGTCAATTTCAGATCATCACAGTATTTCTGTTGGGGGTAATAAAATAAATAACACATGGGTTTGTGAGTAACAGTAAAAATATCATCCCTCGTAAAATACTGTTACCCTCGGCTACGCCTCGGGTAACAGTATTTTCCTCGGGATGATATTTTTACTGTTACCCACAAACCCATGTGTTATTTAAATACTGTTCGCTATTCAGTCAATTAAAATAATTTTTGTCCAACTTGAAAAATGGATGAATCCAATTCAGATATTCAGTATGGCACAGGTTTATCTCCTATTGATTTAATTCATATACATGTATATTTGAGGATTTTTATTTGGTTTTATGGCACACTTAAACAATTTAGGTCATATGGCACCAAAGCAGGACAGATGATTTTAACTAACCTTGGGTGCAACACAAGCGTTCTAGCATCTCTCACCTGCCAGAGCTAAGAGATGTTTAGACTCCAGTAATTTGAACCCATTTAGTCCCCTGACTTACAATCCTGCAGAGATAAGCAGTGGCAGCAATTCTGATGCCTCAACCCTTAAAGGCAGCGTCTTGGCAAAAAGGAGGTCCATTTGAGGAAAATACTTACTTGTGTGCTGTGCTTTCCTATCCAAAAGTGAACATCATATAACAGTTCATCACCATCTTCCTTCTTGTATGTCTAAAAAAAAACAAATGATATAAGTCTTTCATTTCAGACACTAAAGAAGTAAATTAAGATCTTAAATGAGATAAATGTGTAGTCCAACATTAACCCCTAACCTGCTGGAATCAAAAGTTTTTGCCGCCAGCATAAAACCTTTTTTTCAAAAGTTATTGAAGAAAATACCACCTGGACCATAATTTACATCAGTTTTCTGCTTTATGCAGATCACAAAAAGACTCACTAAACAGGGACTGTGAAAAATGTCTGATAAGGTATGTTAGGCCCTGATAGTTAGTTTTATATAGTGTAACAACTATCAATAATTCATTGTTTCTGATTACTTACATTGAGAACAATGTATGAGTCTCCTTCGTAGAATTTACTATAGTCTTCCTTTGGCCATTCTGTTACCTGAAATTTCTGGTAAAACAAAACAAACCACATCATTTCAATAACCATCAGTTTTGTAACACAATAACAAAAGTAATTTTATCACTTATCAACATAGTGTATAAATGACAACATCCTGTTTATCACAAGAAAGGTACATTATAAGTAAAAATAATACTGGCGCCAAAATAAGGTACGGTGATTGGCATTAACAGTTGCTTGTACTTGCAAGACAAGGTTCAGTGATTTTGTTTAATCACTCTGATTAAATATTTTAAAAAAAAAGTCAACAAAGTATTATAAAATTAAGTAAAAAAATAATTTCATCATGGATAAATACATTGAATTGAAGACAATCACTTGAAGGCTGGTTTTGGTTTTTAGGCGAGTATTAGAATATTTCAGCCCTATCCATCTACGTGCTTTATATGTTGTAGTTTACTTTACTACTGTTCCAGTTCTAACCTATTAGTCCATGAGTAACTACAAACTTGAGTTGGAAACAGAGCTGGCAGATTAAATGACAAAGTTGTTGAATAAACATCAACAAAATCAAAACATGTTACTGAGCAGGAATTTAATGCATGAATGGAAGGAAAATGGTCTCCATACTGAGATATTCCAACAGTAGTAACTATATGAGCCGCGTCACGACAAAACCAACATAATGAGTTTGCGATCAGCATGGATCAAGACCAGCCTGCGCATCCGCGCAGTCTGATCAGGATCCATGCTGTTCGCCTTCCAACTCTATTACAAGTAGAGAAACTGATAGCGAACAGCATGGATCCAGATCATATTGCGCGGATGCGCAGGCTGGTCTGGATCCATGCTGGTCGCAAACAAACTATGTTGGTTTTGTCATGGCGTGGCTCATATATACAATAAAAGCAGACATACCACAATCCTCCAGATTTGAAGACCTGGTTCCTGGCCACATCCCTGCCAGGCTGGCTCACTCTCTGCTGATTCCTCTATAATAAAACAAGAACCAGTCATAAATAAAAAACTCCAAAAAATATCCATTCAAATTGTAATGCAATGTATGGAGTAATGCAGTTAAATTTATCAAGAATTATATGCTTTGAATCAAAATCAGAAAAATATTGCCTGCACATTGGATTTAGAAGCTACTTGTTCCTGCAAGAAAAGTGAAAATATTTTCGATGCCTGGTACTTAAACATTACATTGTGGATAAAGTTCAAGACTTGTCACCGGAGTGCAGTGACATGTTAACTCTGATTAAATTATATGAGGAATTAACATGTTATTGCACTAAAGTAATGACTTGTGGCAACTTTGTAAAGTTAGAAGACAGAATCACTCAATAGGTGACTGTTACATTCTGCAAAGTTACTTACTTTTAACTTGCTTTTCTGTATCAGAACCAAACAAGGCCATGTTGGAGTCCTTCCAGTCATATTTCTTAGCTTTCTGCATTTTCTGGAAGAAATTTAAAGCAACTTTTAAAATATATTCATATTTAAAATTATTATACTTTTTAACTCAAATTCAAAGTTTATGAACATGAAAAATCTTACTTATGTCCTGTATGTAAGTTTTGTTAAATTACTGTTTTGCCCAAAGCTTTTTTTGCTGTAATTGTTTTGTATGTACTAGTACATGGAATGTAGCACTTCATAAGTAAAACATTTACCATACCATCCACAGCATGTCACTTTGATATTAAAGCAACTTATACACAGGTAAATTCATTTACATCATCCATATCTTTTGTACACTCTGAGAACCATTACATTTTTTTTTTTTTTTTTTTTTTTTGGGGGGGGGGGGAGGGAGTGCTGCTTTTTTACAATGGCAGAGAAGGTAAATTTAAACTAGCACAGAGGAAAAAGATCTGAAGATTGCTGGACTAACAGGATAACCACTGGGCCATGCCACCACACAGCTGGGAATTGAACCTATGACCTCCCACATACATGTCATATCTTCTTCTACAAGGCCACAGCTACATTATGGCCATATAGTAATATTGGCTTTTCTTAAAACAGATTAAATACTATGAGTATTGTAATGACTGAACATCAAAAATAAGGTGACAGTGTGTGATAAATTCATGACAAACATTATTGTGGTTAACATAGACAATCCTTGTTTTTATTACTTATCATATTTTTACAGTCGATGTCAGGTCAATGATTGACCTTAGGTTAACTAATTACTAATTTTTCATTATTTGTAGTTGTCCAAACATTATTCTGGTTAACGTTGATAAACCTTGTTTTTATTACTTATTATCTTGTTTCAGTCAATGTCAGGTCAAAGACTGACTTTAGGTTAACAAATTACTAATTTTTCATGATTTGTTTGTCTACTTGAATCATAATAATATCCAGCTTTCAAATTTTGACCTCTTCATAAACAACTATAGTGATATCAGGATGAAAATTTAAAGTTTCTCAGCCAACAGTGTGGAGCCTGGTCAGAGCGAATGGTTTGCAGGCTGACCATTGGCTCTATACTGGTACCAAAGGCTAAAGGTTAGAATGCCTTTACTTTATTCTAACTGTATGAGTCATAAAACATATGTTACCAATGTTTACATATGAAAGAATGTGGGAAAGTACAAGGATTATTCAAAATCAAAATATCTAGAATCTGTGCATTATTTCAGGCATGAGCAGGCACGTGAGTAGAACCACCAATGTTCTGTAAGCTAGGTGGATATCTTCCTCTCATGAAAGAATTCAAAATTGCAGTTACACCCATTTGATATATAATTTCATACCCTCGACATACTTAGAATTTACCCAAGCATAGCATTTTTTTTATGTAACATACAAATTGCATGATAAACATAATAACACTAAGTTATGTATATTACAGTACCATCATGAGAATGTAGATGACAAAGATCATCAAACAAGAGCTGTCCGTAAGACAGCGCGCTCGACTTTTTTATTGCTTGCCAATAAAAAAAGTTTTTGCAGTAAAAGGCAATACAAGAATCTCTGTATTTTTAAAGTGAACAATGGCCATGAGCATTAAGATATTTAGTGAAGAATTATTTTACTGAATTGTGTGAAAAATAACTAGTTGTTTGATACCCTTGAATATTACAGCAATGTTTATATGACATAATTTATGGTAAAGTGAACAAGTGGATAGGAATGAATTTTTTTAGATTTTTTAAGTTTTTTAGTGCTTGCCTATAATACAAAACATTGACAGTTAAGGGCCATAATTCAAATAAAATCTTTGACAGAATTACCTTCTCCTGGACATGTTTGGAATCATGATTGTAAACAAGTATTCCAACTTTCAAATTAATATCTCAAACAGTTCAGTCAAAAAGTGGACTGGTACTAAAAACTTAACCAAGATTCTAAGTCGATAAAAGGCTTAATTTTTAAAACAAATCCTTGACAGAGTTACCTTCTCTTGCGTACAGATGGGGGTAATGATGTGAAATAGCATTAAAATTCAAAGCAATATCTCAAAGGGTAAGGCAATAAGTGGATTTTACCCATATTCAATGTATTTTCTAAGTCAAAAAGGGGCATAATTCTGTAAAAAACCTTGACAGAGTTATGTCCTCTTGTCTGTTGATGAAGGTCGTGATGGTAAACAAGTATGGTCAGTTTCAAAGCAATACCTCCCAATGGTTTTTGAAATAAAGTGAGGTGGTACAAAAAACTTAACCAAGCTCCAATACACTTTCTAAAAAAGTCAAAAAAGGGCCATAATTCTGTCAAAAACCTTGACAGAGTTATGTACTCTTGTCTGTTGATGGAGGTTATGATTGGTGAACAAGTATGGTAAGTTTCAAAGCCATACTTGTAATACTTCTGAAATAAAGTGGGGTGGTACGAAAAACTTAACCAAGGTGTGACGCCGACGCCGACGCCGGGGCGAGTAGGATAGCTCCCCTTTTCATAGAAAAGTCGAGCTAAAAATGACTTAAGTAGATCACACATTAGTCACACTATGTCAAAGTTACAAGGAATATATAACATATTGCCTGAGATATAGAAGCATTTTTATATAATAATAGCTCATTCAACTACATGTATACTATAGGGATTGAATCCACAACTCCTGCTGGTACTGATATGCAGTTGATTCTGTATGTATCTTAAAATTCCCTAATCAAGCTAGCTGAAGAGATATAGCTCATGGCAATGAAGAGTTACTGTATATCTTAAATATCAAAATGATGTTTAATATAGAAAGTAACGTAAATAACTGTCATCATTTCTTGATATCCATGTATTGCTAAGACTTTCTGTCGATCAATAATCAATAGAAATTTTTTGAAAATTGATAATTTTGACCAATAATTAATGTCTAGAAATTAAGAAAATTCACCCAAAAGATATGCAAAAGCATATTTCATTGCAGTTACAATGACAAAAACTGTCGGCTAAAAATTCATGCAATGGGCATTTATAAATAAAGACATATATATGAAAAGATTCATGTTTAAGATTTTTTATTGAATTTTAAAGAATTTAAACAGGTATAAAAAAGGAATTACAGACAAGTAATTAACTTTAAAGTTTAAGTTATTTGTTTGATATTGGATATAAGGAAAATCAATTTGACAGCTCTAGAAAAAGTTTCATTATTTAGAAAGGTTTTAAAATAGATCTTACCTTAGATTTAGGTCTGCTTCACAATACAGGAAGAAAGGAAAATTAATGGTTCAAAACTTGAGGTCTGAAAAGGAAACGAGTTTGATAATGTGAATATAAATTAGTGGATTAATGTGTAGAAACTGCAAAACATGAGTAAATATATTTTATACCCAATGATTTAAGATTATTCACAATGTTAATCTTAGGGAAATACTTTTCAAACAAACAGGAGAAGAAGAAAGTTAAATGACTGCCAAATAAATCAACACTCTGAAGCTTTTAAATTATATAAAAAAGCATTAAATTATTAATAGAAAATCCACCATGTTGAATGCAAAATTTGCAATTAAAAACAGTTGTTTTTCATAATAATTTATTCTGACCCAAAAATTTTCAACCAAAAATTTCAACTGGCAAAACAAAAAACTGATAAGTTTGAAAATACAAAAATTTCACTATAACTTATCGAAAAACAAAGTTTAAGAAAACCAATAAGTACAGTCAATTAACTTTACTACTTGAAAGTAATGATGAACTAACATTATTAGCATTTATACAAATTAATCTGAATGAATATTCAAAACTATTTCATGCCAGTAAATGTGTTAAATAGATATATATACTTAAAGTTATTGTATCTGTATAATTTTTAAATGAACAAAAAAATTTTTAGAACCTTAATCACTAATCTGTTTCAAATAAAATTTCACTTATTTTTTAACAATTATACTTTACACTCTAATCACATTAATAATATCAATTTTTATAAATGATTATGGTATATGAGTAATGCATTGACTGACATATTCATTTGGTCTACAAAAACATGAACCTGCCAAAAATATTTTGGGATGAATTATATAGACAATCAATGGACCCAATGGCTGTGTTATTCACATCTAGACTACTCACACATTAAAGTAAATTATTCATTCAAGTTAATTACTTATTGAGGTTGCGTACACTACGGTATGTATACATCAAACCAATGTTAATATTCATTAAAAAAGCTTATATATTATATTCCCACATAAATGAAAGAACGAGTCAAAGAGCGTGAAATTATACAACAGAAAAATCACACGCAAATTCGGCATGCCTGACAGTTGCGAACTCAAACCCACGGGGTCTCTGGTTTGCCAGGTCCAGTATGCTTACCACTTACACCACTTTAATGGCCACCTTCTGGTGTAAAGGTTAGCATACTACTCCCTTAACTAGACCGCCAATCCAAGATCGGAATTCATTGGGGTTTGAGACCTGAGGCCCCATCATTGGCTGATTTTTCATGTGATTTTTCTGTAAAGTACACATATATATAATATATTACATCCCCTAATCAGCTAAAATTATTTATAATGTATCCAAAGTATATTGGATATCGTAATGCCTTACCCATAATTAAATAACAACATCTGGAACGATCCGTCTATGCATTTAATCAACTATTGAAGCACTCATTCAATTGAAGAAAGGATATTTCTATTTTTTATAAATTAACTTCATATCCTTAATATCATATGAATGCAAAATATCGCAATTTAATTAAAGTTGAAACTCCGATAATGGATCTTGAATCATTTCAAATTCCAAATCAGAAAAACAAGTTTAATCATAGCGGATGTGGTGTAGGTGGTAAGGCTTCACTGAGATTCTAATCCTATTTTTTGAGTGTTATAATACATGTATTTGTTAGGATTATACATGGTGTACCCTAAAATACAATATATCACAGGCAACAATTCAAATTACAAATAAAAACAATTTCACAAATAATTATTTATTACATACCAGGATTTGTTTTAAGAAGTTATTTCAATGTAACAAATGAAGAATGCAAATATATCAGTATAATTCCATGAAAGAAATTACTGTTCAAAGATAACCTTATATAGAAATAAAATTTTTGATGTGTCCATTTCCAATCAAAATGCAAAATCAAGTGGTGGTCAGTTTTTTACTGAGAAATCTTTAAAAAACTTTCATACCAAAAACCAGTGTCATCTCCATGCACTGAACTGGTATAACCAGTTCAAATTTTCACCCATAAACAAAGGGACAATAGACAAACCTCATGAACAGTTTTTTAAGGTCTGGTCCCTTAAGAAAGAAATTACCATAAACGTTCTAAAAATAAGCAATTTGATTATTTTGTACCTTAATCTTACAACAGTTACATTAATAAAAAACAGCATTTTTAATTTAAAAGCACGATTACTTTAAATTAGGTCAATGAACTGACCTTGCATTAGTTACCAGATAGCCCAAGGAAAATTTTGTATTGAAACAAAGTGAAACATAATTTCTCGTCAACACCCTTCAAAAATTGGATGATATCCCCGGCAAAATTGTCAGATGCTTTTGTTTTTAATTTTCAAATCTTTATCCTGGGGTTACAAATAAGCCTTACCATTGTAGTTCCCAGGCGAACCACATGGTTCAAAATATAGTGATTTAAATGCCCAAAGCTTTTATTAATCAACAAAGTTAAATTACTGTATAAAAACTTTTAAATGTTTTGTACCCTAAGGATTAGATTGAAAAAAAAACCTTTTAAGTTTCAAGAGCATTTTTTATTATTTAATTAATTATAATAATTAATTATATGAACTTGCCCAACTAAACAAATTGCCTAGGATAAAGGCATGTGGTTCATATTCAACATTGTGGGACTTCTTTCCAAACTCTAGGGAAAACAAAAAATTACCACATTACATAGATTTCCTATCAGGATTGATTCACCCCTTGGTAACTCATATTTGATGAAACAGTTATTTCTTGCAAGATGTTAAACCACAAATCTTGTGACAAGAAAAAAACTATATTTTATTTAGATTATTTCATTTGCTCGCCCCAGTAAGGATTTACCTGAATAGCAAAAACTTCTAGGTGAATGAAATGTTAATCATTGTCAGAAGTGGGATATAATATTTAACTTTTTGATTAAAAGTTTCATATAAAAATTTAATGCACTGCATTTAGAACACCATTGAAATTTGTATTATAAATACCACTAAGGATATTCAAAGAGTTTTGGCTCAATTATTAAATTTATTGAACATATTGGTTATTTGACATATTAAAACCACAGTGGAGTCCCTTTAAAGACTT